CACACACACACACACACACACACACACACACACACACACCCTCCAGCCCAGAAGACCACATGCATACCAAGTCAACTTTATTGTCAGCAAGCTGACAAGGCTGTGCCTTTTGGTTGGGTGCAATGCTTGCTTTATGCAAAGTGGGTATCTTTACAGGGCAAAGGCCTAGGGATGGAAAACTCCACTAGGGACGGGGAGCAGTTGCAGCTGGGACCAAATATAGCATGTAGCCAGGGCAGGGTTTACTGATGGCAGCAGTTGCCATTAGGTCTGGCTGGAGGCTGTGCCTGTCAAGCATGGGAGGTAACAACTGCTGTCAGGTCTGGTCATCTGATTTCCTGGAAAGGGCTGCGGACCTGAGATGGAGGTTGTCAAGTCAAAATGAGGGAGGACATACTGACATAATAGGCATATATATTTTTTCTGGTATATATGTTTTGTACTAAAAATTAAATTTCAGACAAATGAGTTATTTCTGAGAGCTTGTTTGGAGGTTCTAGCAGGGGAGCGCAGCTCCGAAGGACCGAAGACCGGTCCTTCTCTATCGGGGATGGTCGTCCTCTTTGACGGATCGCGCAGCTTTGGGAGGGACGCACATGGAGCCGTGAGGGAGGAAGGGGACACCCGCCTAGCCAGCCAGGTCAGCCGAATCAACCCTGGCGATCAATGGGGTGACAGATGTCACAGCCAGATCGCCCTCACATCCAAATGAGTTATTTCTGAAAGGGATAAAGTAAAAGAAAAATCATGAAGGTAGTTTTTCCTCCCACTTTCATGTCTAGCCATTTTACTTCAATACTTCAGTCAGTGTCAGAAACCTGATTTAAGATTTCCACAACTGAATAAAGCCTTTAAAAAGCTAACGAGGCACATTGACATGAATGTAATGATTAGAAATGAAGACGTTGTCTGTTTTGGATTTTACAATGCCCAACAGTTCTTATCACTTGGGAGGAAGTGTGAATATTTTATTCCAAGTTCTCAATTTGTATATCTTTCTTCCATTCAGCATTGATTATTTACTCTAAGGACACAGAACATTTCTGTATGTTTTTTTCTGCCCTGTACTTGCCTCTGTGAGGACACATATACTATTCTGTAGTTTATGTACTGTTCATGTCACTAGTGAGCTATTTAAACATAATTTTACAAATTAAATTCTATGGTTAAAAGATGCACCATCAATAAGACCAGTAAATAAATTATATGTGAAACAGAAAACAAAGAAAAATAATAAAAAGTATGTGTATGTATGTGTGTGTGTGTGTGTGTGTGTGTGTGTTTATGTGTATGAGTGACAAAGGGAAAAAGAGACAGACACAGAGAGACAGAGTTACTAAATGGGGCCAGGAAAGGCCCAGTTTTGAGGGTGCTAACAGTCTCCTGGGCATACCTGCAGGAAGAGCATTTCAGACAGGAATTAGCAATACCAATATCATAGGAGCATCACTATTTTGTCCTACAGCCTTTGGTATTTTTATCCCAAGGTATTTGAGTTGATGTTAAAATTTTACTTTATAAAGTTTAAGGCATGGAACAATTGGCTGACTAGAAGAAAGAGTGTCTCTGATGAGACTATATTGTGGCAAGGTAGGAGCTTTCCCAGCTGGTACAGTGTGTACAGCAGAGGTCAGCTTAGTGAACTTCTTATAGATATGGTCAGTGGACAATGA